GTGGATGTAAGTCATAACCAAGTGAGAGACTCGCAAGACCACTGGCACGCTAGTTTGGCTAATCACATGGCAACAAGTTTCCTGTGGTCGGAAAAGGACTCAATGAATCAATTTTTTCTCTCGAGTATTTGAACTGGAGTTAGTTTCACACAATGTGATCACAACTATTAATGAGGTTACATGCTTGAGTCCACAACACCAATGGTGATGAATTTCAACTTCTAGATCGCTATAGACTGGATTCGCATGTTACTATTTCGTTGGAATTACTGAGCGGGTTCACGGTACGTGTCATCAACGTAACACTACCCTATCATTTCCTTCAAACAAATGACCTGTCTGATTTCACTTCAGTAATTAGTTCACATACAGACCTGAGTTGTAGTTAGGCTTGACACTAGAACATCCTCGTGTCAAATGCAGAAATATGCACGTTCATCACACTGTCCTAATTTTACTATTTTTCTAATAAGACCCTCCGGCATCCGTCTAATTTGGAGCCCCGCCAGTCATGCTGTTTGACTCTCACATCTGCTTCAAAAAATATTGTACAGAGAAAGAACATTCGAATCCAGTTCGACTCTATCCTGAAAGAGCGTTGGTGTAACATTCTGCGAATGGAAAATTTACATAAACCATAATAATTCACCGTGTAGGAGACAGAATGTCTATGTGCTGAAAAGGATAGTATGAGAGTTAGTCACAGAACTAGTGAATTGAAAGCCGTATACAGAACCACCCAATTGTGCACACTAATTCATGGGAAAGATGCATTCAGCAGAACATAGGCACGACAACGTAAAGTGTGTAATCCACAAGTCAGCAATCATTGATCCCTTCTGTTGATGTTTCCTCAGCCTGGTCCAGATGCTTGGTAGCCACGAAGACAAGAATGGAGAGGGAAAAGCGCGTTATTAGGCGCAGTTTGTTTACCGTTTCTACTATTACGCTAGTGTCCGTCGCTCGCTCCGCCAAGGACCATTCTGAGGATCCAGCATCCCGACGGACCAGCCCACCGAGCACATGGAGATTAATCGATCCCTCATGCTTTGTCTTGTAATGACTACACAGATAGTTTACCTACTGACCTCATTCACTCAGTTCAAAACTTCTGGGCTCTGTCACCTCGGTAGGAGGAAGACGAATACAAATGATCACGGGCAACGCAACGTGCGTAATTAGAGTCAACACATCACATTACTAACCGAATACAGTTGATCGTAGTGTGCCCAAACTGGAACACCCTACCTGAAGCTGTTGTGACAACGTCAGCAACAAATAGCTTCAGACAATCATTTAATACACCCATTACTTGTGGTAGTTCGAATATCAAATCAGCGTGACCTATCGCGATTCTAGTTCGTCCGACCGGTGAGTCTCACACTCAGGATGTAAACCCTCGAAAGAATACGCTGGTTCGGATTCTGATCTTCGTAATAATTAACAGGGAAAATCTTGGTCCCGAAAATAACACGACTGTGTCTGTAATTGCTCCCAAGACAAATCAAAAGAGGGTGTAAAATGCAGCTTTGTTCCAACCCAACAACGTGTGCGACAAACAGTAAATTACCAGGTATTACCATGGTCATGGCGGCCTACAAATATTCTCGAATCAGAAGATCGAAGGACAGTTACCGAGAATAATAGTTAAAGTCACCAATGAGCAGAGCAAAATAAAAGTCGAATAGGTAAAAAATAACCAAGGTTACGCCTCGGATGTTCTGGACAGTTCCGCTCATTCTGATTGGATAAAATCGTTTTCTCGAGAAACGAGGCGCTTTTGGACGAAAAAAATTGGACGCCCTAACAAAGGATTCCACAGCCTTGTGATAATGCGGTTTGGAAGTCGTGATATTGTGGGGGGCTGTCAGGCAGGAAGTGTGAGCATTCCAACTCTCGGCGGAATACCCCAACACAGGGGGAGGTGCGTTCAAAAACCCACGGTGAACGGATGGAGAACGGCGTGGGCGACCGGATGAGTCATCGCTCGACCGGATCGGACCAACGGGCGAGACGTGGCAGCCGAAATAGGATGGATGACCAAATTGAAGGCGTGATTATTCCAACATTCTCAGGAATATCTTGGCACGGCTGTGGAGTACGGTCAAAGCCCACAGTGGATAGACGGAGGACAGCACGAGCGACCGGACAAGCCATCGATCAACGAAATGAGATCAACGGACGAGGAATAGCAGGCAGAAAACCCCCGGGTAGAGGGTGCCAACCACACACCTAAACCGAGCGGAAACCGGGGAGTGTTGGGTACTGGAGTTGTGATTCAAAATCGTGAGCGCTCGTGTGGCATGGTAACTAGCGCGTTGGGCAATAAAGACTGTGCTTTACTGGACGCCTTTTCGCTACAATATGGAGGCGGGTGCATAACAGGCAGACTTCAACGAACACAGTCCAGTGTTCTGAGGGGACGAATGTGTGTGAACCTTCAACATCACCGCGCTAGCCGCCACGGAAGACGAATGGCCACAGAAACTCCCGTCGACTTTGAAAATGCAAACAGGCGTTGGAATGGTTAGGAGTCATTCCTGAGAACGTAACCCACAATAATAGAAAAGACAGATTTTTATAAAACGATTGGAACTACAGTACCTTCGTCGTCACTAATTTTGATGTTGTGGTTTGTAGTACCTGTACAGTCAAAAGGCAAAATGATGAGTACTTTGTTCCCGAAGAAGTAACATTCATTTCGCAGAGATTTTAGTAGGTTAGGGACGTCGAAGGCAACCTGGATAACTTGAAGTGGTGTACGACTACCAATGTCAGCACTAGCAAATCATTATCATCAAGTTGAACATCATCCACAATTGATCACAGCTGTCGAATTCCCATAGACACTTTACTCGGCCCCTTTCGAAAAGAAGAACTAGACTAGAGTTTCAGTAATCAAATACCGCCCAACAAGTCAATGATTTCTGTGATTTCAACTTGGAGGGAAGTCCTAGTCGAGGGGTCATCGATTGGAGTTAACAAACAATAACTGTATCTCCTCTCGAGGCGATCGGGCAACCTGATCATTACTCACAAGCAAAAGTGGTTGAGTGTTCACATATGATAATTCGGTCGTGCCTAATGTGAGGCCAATGGTGCAATGGTGAACACGGTTGTCTCATGAACAGCGTGGCCGGAGTTCTAGTCCCGGCAGTGGCGAGGATATGTACCACTGATGAGCTGTAATGAGAGCGAAACTCGAGTCTAGTGCCTTCTCTGTTCGAAAGTTGCCGACTGAAAAGTCTATGGGATGCGACAGCTGTGAGGAATTGTAGGTGACGTTCAACTTGAAATTAACGAAACCCCCTGTTACTCATCAGAAATCATTATCCGTTGAAGTTAGCTTGTTTTATGCTTTATTACCGTGTACGGGCTAAGCTTTTCTTTCTACACTCTAACACCATTCCGCTTCATCACAGTTTATATTTTTGTGATCCTTAGCGTTTCTGAGACGAAGACCATTGTTGTATTTTTAGTCTGATGCATTTTTACCATTGTCAAAAACTATCAGGCTAACATAAACATTGAGAAATTTCTGCAACCTACATGTCTCGGGTGGTTACGAGTGTTCAGAGCATGTTCAACTAG